TTTCTCATTATGTTGCTCATATTTGGCGCATATTGGTCAGTTTTCGATATATCGTTTTGTTCGTAAACAATTATAAGGGCAACCGCACTAATAATAAACAAATACGTACAAGCTGTTTTTTTTTGCGAGCTAATTAACATTAATAATTATACCATTTTTGTGTAAAAAGAAATTTAATTTTAGTACGAAAGAGATTAGTGAATCAATGTGCTTTGCACTCAGGTTTAAGCACACAATTGAAGTCAATAGAACCTGGAGTTTCATGTATCCCTGCAAATGAAGGGATACGTTATTGATAATACTACTAGTTGTTCTGCAACTACTTGTAAAATATTGTAAAAAACCTGAACTTTGGGAGTACCTGAAGCAATACAATAAGAACATTCAATTTTATGAAATGATCATGACGTTTCCAGAACATACGTGGCATCCTAATATTCATTACAATATTTACATGTTGTAAAAAATCTCGTTGTCTGTTATATCTTCGTTAAATTCGTACATTTTCATGTTTTTGAATAAATAAAAATATAATGATATCAACCGGAGAGCGCTAATCAAAAATTGTGAGGTTAGAACGTTGATCAATTCAATAAATGAATTGAAATTAAGATCTATATAAAATACTGCTTATTTCACAACTTTTTGATATTGAACTGTAGTTTAACTGATCCTAAAAGTTTTATAATACGCTTGTTAAGAATGGTATAAAACCCATTAAAATAACGGAAACGCTTTGGATGCAATATTATGAAACCTTAAGTACTTTGGTATTTATTGGATGTCTTACAAAGATTGTAACACCAATGGTTTCCTAATACCACAATAAAAACTGAAACAAAAATCAAAGTTTCATATAATAAAATTGCAAAAAATGTTGGTAACATTAGGTCGAAATATGTCTTTTGGAGCCTGCTCATTTTTCATTTTAGTATAGTACGGCACAGAACCCACTTATGCATACTACTTGTAACCTAAAATCACATCTCGTCACATTGTAGCTCTTTAGACGCTCCCGCATTTTTGAAAGCCTCCATTTTAAATACGACCTCGGGAGACCGAGCAGATACTCAGGCATTGGCAAAAAAAAATTCTACGGAAGCAACAGGAGCATCTGGCCTGACCGACGAAGAAAATTAGATTCGTTCGATATGTCTGGGCTAAAAGCTTTTTTGCGAGGGAAAAGTCTAGACGGGAATTATTTCGAATTTCATAAAACGCGATTTCGCCATTTTCGCTCGAATCAAATTATCGATTACTTAAAAAAAAATGGGTGAATTTTCAGCGGACACCTCGATTATTTCGCCAAATGACCCCCCACGAGAGACGGGAAAAACAGAAAGTATATAGAGATAAAACCTTTTTCATTTGCGGCCGAAACTTGTCATAATATGGTGACAAATTGTCTTGGCGGGTCTCGACCCCCACCCCCCACAAAAAAGACAAACCTAACGCGACAGCGCCTGACGAATTACCAGCTTCGCCATCAATAATCCCTATTTGCCAAATTCGTTTATCCCTACGACCAGGGGGTTAGAGAGAGTTCAGGCGGACGATATTTCGCGGCCAAAAATCAATCTTGTCAAAATTATTTCCCGGCTCTTCACGACGCGAATTTACCAAAGCAAATACTGAACTATTTATAAACACAGCTACGAAATTTTTAAGTTCTTTGTTTGTTGCTACCAGTGGCACAATGATAGTATTGGCATCACCAGAATATTGGTATCAAGCGGAAATTAAGAACTAATTTATTTATACGCGACCTAACCATATAGTTGACGTGACTGAAGTTAGCTTGCGATTGGGATTGAAATCTGTGTCAAATTACAGCCGACCAAACAAATACTGGTCAATATTTCAAAAATCCGTATGAACCTTATTTTTGAGGCAAAATTAACAGAATTTGGTACACACGGTACAAGAAATTCTCCACCGGATGTCCTAGCACCCCCACCCCCCTGGTATGGCATCTAATCTGTTAAGTTTTAATGATACTAAAATCCATGGGTGTTTTTTTAAATGCAACTCACAAATGCAGGCAGACCGTGGCTTGTGGGACATGAATTAAAAGGTAATTAAGAATAGATTATAAAAACATATGTTTAGAGATGCCATCTGTCAAATTTACATTTTTGTTAGGTATATATTGCAAAAATGTTAATTGTTAATTGTTAAATGTTATTCCCGAATTTTGCTTGGTACAGCATGCATTAGTAAAAGTGTTTAAATAGACCAAACCACTGAGCAAACTACACAAAATTAATAAAGCTGCTTTTATTGAATTTAATTAGCGTGGCCAGTTTGTTAATTGTGCAACCCTTATCCAAATAAATGAACGTTCCACTCTGTAGACAATTGTGGGCTGCGTCAAAAATATGTGGAATAGGAAGATAATTTTGCTCTTTTTAATAAGACTAGGCAGTTTGTAATTTTTGTGCCGTCGAAGGTGTCGAAAAACACACTTTTATCAAAAAATTGATTGTTTCACCCTGTAGGCGATTTTGTGTCGCTTCGAATATATGTGGAACAAGCCGTTACTTTGCGAAAAAAATGCGAATTAACCAAAATTATAAATGTGCAATAGTATATTATGCAACAAGTGCGGTAAACGGCATTTGACTCACTAGTTTATTTGACATGAGCGGAGCGCAGCGGAGCAACTGCTTAATAAACGAGTGACTTAAAGAAGTTTACCAAACATGTTGCATACTACACTACGACCGTTACTTTTTGGGTACATTCTCGCAAAACAACACGAATACGTTCACTGACATGAGCGTCAGAATTGAGAAACTTCAAGCGGTGAGAAATATCTCCGAAAACATTCGATTGCTAGCAAACCCGTGCGGTAAAATCCCGGAAATATCCGAAGCGGATCGCATCCGTGGGAAACGAAACTGACGTGGAAAAGTGACGCTTCTCGCATGCTAGATCGGTGTGTAATTAGGCATTTTACAGATTGGAGTATAAAAAAAACGTTACTTTACCACGTGTGCTTCTTGTTTTCGTAGATTTTACCGAATTTACGAAAGGAGGCTTTGAAATGACCTATACGAGTCGTATGAGTATTAATAATTAACAACAGTAATTTTTATTAGGGGTCAAATACAATAATGATAAGCGGAAAACCTCCAAGATCCAAGAGGGAGAACGATGGGTTGAATTTTCATTTAATTGAAAATAACCACAACTATTGTGTTTAATGTAATTAATAAATATGGTGAATCTTTCAAAATTGATGTTAATTTGAATGTGTACAACTTTCGAGACCATATATTTTCACAATTTCATATAACAAAGAAATTTGATGTATGGCTGCCAGACTGTCGCAAACGAGTGATCGGAGAACGAAAAACAGAAAACATTGAACTTCGTAAAGGCAGCCAAATGTGAAAACGTCCTTGAACATGCACTTTTTCTAAGTGCATTAAAGTTATATCCATCTGGAGATTGAGAAAATTTTTATTGTAATTTGTTAAAAACCACAATATCAAGTTGTCCGTATTTTTTAAACTTTGAATGAATATCTATTAAATTGATCATTCTTTTAATACCTATTTTGTTTTGCGGGACATATATTTAGAGTTAGTTGTCGCAAATTCTCCACTTCTTTTCTATGTAAATGCCCGGTCCAATTTAACTAAGTATCTAATTTTACAGACCAGCTTCGTTATTAATTTCAATTTGTATCGATTCAATAATTTTTTTGTTTGAAAATTATATATTTAGTTTTTTTTTTGTCCAAAGTAACTTCCACAGGCTCCTATAACACAAAAACCTTCTGGATTCCTCCTGCTGGTCGTTTATAAATCGTTTTCTGACGTTTCGCCAATCATCCTATTGGCTTCTTCGGAGCTTAACTGAAGTTTCGGTTTTTGTTTTAAGTATTTCATATATTAACGTGTAATGTATTACTCTATAACAAGTCACTGTAAATCTCGAAATATCTATTTGCCACGAGTTCGAGCTCCCTTCCACATTTCACAATGTAAACCAGCACTAAATCATCAGCAAATGCAAAACACTGTACCGTCAAACCTGGATCTGTCAAATTAACAGCATACAGGGAATACACTGATCCTTAGGCAAACTATTACTTACTGAACTTACCGGGATTGGGATTATTAAATTCTCTAAGTTAAGGATACTCTGAATAGTTATTAGGTGATGCTGAATTTAGAATTTATATATTAACTCATTCGTTGACTCCATATACCAATTGTTTTCACAAAGAATATTATCAAATTTGAATCTGCCTTGCTAATTGGATGTGAATCTTTGGAATTCGGCATTCACCGTCGTCACTATTTTTTGTATTAAGCATATATTAATTTTTCACAGAGTTTAACGAGGAACTAATTTAGAAGCCGTGACTGTCATGAACCAGCAGGTTGTGAATGAATGTAACAAAGTAATGAAATCGATACCTGGTGGGCGGCTTGGAATCTGAACTGGGAATGACAATTCTACAAAATCGTCTTAATTATCAATTTTTTTTCGATTTAGACAAAAAAAAAATAAATCCAGACGCGGTAACAAATGTATCCATTCGTTGCCTTGAAAAGAAAACCCATAAATCCTCTCGAGTTTGAATGCCGCTCACTTAAATATCGCTTCATATTTATGTTTGAAAGTTAGACGGCGGGTCGAGCAACAACATCGAAAACTTAATAAGAAAAGCGTATTTTTTTTGCCCCCTCTCGGACGTCAGCGGAAAACTGAAAAGTCGCAAGCTGTCGTGGAAACTTTTGCCCACGTTAACAAAATGTTAAGGAAACGTATCGATTCCATTTGTAAATCGAACCGGTTTAAAGCAAACAAAACCGTTAATTTTATCGACTTGCCGTCGCAGTTTAATCTGCAATTCCAACAACATCGAAACAACCGGGCATTTTGTATTAAAAGGAGAAATAATCACTCGAGTTTGCATATTAATTAAATATAAATACGGTAGCGATCGGTACCCGCGTTATTCCATTTTCCGCGAAAACACTCACCTATAGTCGTTATAACTGTCAAAGAGTACAAAAACGCGCCTGCGAAACTCCACTGTCTCGTGCCGTCTTCGTCTTCGGTACCGTCGTAACCCTTTGTCGTCAAGTTCACTAATAACTGAAACGATAAATAAATAAATCATCCCTCTCATCAGGCATCTTCCTTTGAGTTAATTATAAACCTTGTCTAAATTCTCCTTATATTTTTTTTTTCAGAAACATATAGCGAGTATTTAGGGATAAAAGTTGTTTGGGTTTCTGACATATGCTGTCAAAAGTGACATTTATTTTCCAGGTTACTCTTTAATAAACGAGCCAAACGGCATATGAGGCTGCTATTCATCATCTGATCTGTATGTGGTGAGACAGCGATAGACAAACAAACTATTTTTAAAATTTGTTTTTACTTCGTTATGACATTCTTACCTATTAACCATTAAACATTATACATACCCAATTTTTTTATGTTTTCAATATTTCAATTTTTAAAAAAATATTAGTTTTCATATTTGCAAAAAAATTGGATTAGCGCCATTAGTTTTGAAGATCGCTCAAATTTGATATTAGGGTTATTCGAAGATGACATAATAGATATATGCAACTGAATTTGAGTTAGATGCTACAGGGTATTCAAAAAAAACCATACATATTTTTTTTTTTGAAAGATCTTAGAAAAACCTACAACTTTTATATTCCTATTTTTATTACTTTGCCATTCATTTTAACTTTTCTAATATTTACTCTTTTCTGTCTGAGGCTATTGCCATAATTTATATACTGGGTGAGGCGGAAAATAAAAAAACTCTATTATTCGGGATTCGGACCCTTTATGCTAAGGAACGTCCAAGTAAAGATACGAAAAAGACTAAGCATGTGTATTCATGAAAAACTGCATATTTTGACAATTTATTGCACTATAACAATAATTAAAAATAAAATAAATTCATTTCTAGTAATAGGTATTCAACATTATTTATTTTCTATGAATTTAAAACTTATCCACGGCCATGGAGGGATAAATATTGAAAAAGTTAAAATAAACAAAATAAAATAAAGAGATTTCGAAGATATTTCAGAAAAAATAATAATCTCCACGTCATCTTGGAATAATAATGATCTACAAAACTAATTTACTGCAAGTGTTAAAACTAGCATTTTTTAGAAAAATGAAAATATTGGAAAAACTATTAGGTGTGTATTTATAATTATAAGCACAATTTAAAAATAGCATTTTCCTTATTCCTCACACTTTTTTGAGCCGCCCTGTATACTATAAAATAATTTTAAATTCAGCATCCCAAGAATCGTTATAACTTTTTTATTTACCATTTTCTCTTAACCTTTGAAACCAATGAGATAATGAACTTCAATATATCTTTGACTCACCCTGTACAGTAATAATTAAACATCATCAAACTCTGGCAACAAAGTGGTTGATCTCTCAAGAACCCCAGAAAATCTAGTATTCGATCTAGCACGACCATAACAATCTTAAGCTTTGCGATACTTGACAAAACTAACGTTAGAAAATATAGTCAATTCTTGTAATGATTTTCGACCTTCAAAGCCAGGTTGGTAATTAGACATCAATCCCAAACATGTTTTGTACTCGCTTCTACGTTTTTCCTACATTATCAGCTGGAAATAACGACAGTACGCACTCACCAATTGCAACTTCGCAAGCTCTTCCATAACCGGGCCCTTGTAGTCCTCAAAATCGCTCAGCTTCGCATTGTAGTTCAGTTCCATGGTCAAGTTCCACAATCGGCTGGCGAACAACTTCCGGTTATTTTTCGCGTCGACCTTGACCTGAATTATATGACCTCGCTCGATAGCCATGAATATGAACGAACCAGCAATGGTGTACCCAACCTGAAATGCATCCACTCGCCATCAAATCGAACCAAGAGCTATCGCTTTCGATCTACCACAAGACCGATGATTCCGACATTGCTGAACATGAAGGCGACAAAGTTCCGGACATATTCTTTGCATTTCTTCAACCACGGTCTTCTGTAACGCCTGCCGGATCTTCGAATGGAACGACGACGATCCATCGTCAACCGGTGTACGATTTCATTGCCCTATACCTGAAAACAACAAACGAGAATCAAAATGGCGTTGATTACTAATTTGGCGGGAAAAAAACAAGAAATCAAACAGCAATTAGAAATGTGAAAGTTACTCTAACCTGTAAGAAATTTGGATAAACGTTTTAAGATCTTTTTATAGTGCATAATAATAATAGTAATATAATTTTGTTTTAAATTACATATATTTTGTAGTCACAAAATAAAGTTGTTTCAATAGTCTCCAACACTACTTCAAGATTAACTAAACTAACTTCAAGGTATTTTACAGAAGGGAGTACAAAACATGTTTGAGATTGATGTCCAATTACCAATCTGGCTTTGAAGGTCGAAAATCATTACAAGCATTGACTATATTTTCTGACGTTAGTTTTTTCAAATATCGCAAAGCTTAAGTTTGTTATGGTCGTGCTAGATCGAATACTAGATTTTCTGGGGTTCGTGAGAGATCGACCACTTTGTTTTATTGCCCTCTTAAGCATTCTTTAAAATTGGTAATTATTAAACAGTTCAACACACATGTAATATGGGTTAGTGGGTAAATAATATTGTAATTTCTAGTGTTGTACCTATGCAATATCAAACGTTTCTTTTTTATATTAAAGTAGTATGCAAAAATATACAATACCTAGACAGGCGCTCATAATTTTAATTACCATTCCTACCAAAAGCACCGACTCGAAATTGGCACTCCAGAAACACACACGAAAATTAGTATTCTAGAAACAAACCATAACAGATTTTACATAATTTAACACGGAGACCGACAGTGTGTTGATTATAGGATAGGCATTAATCAATAATATGACCTACAAACTTAGTTTCATATTTGTGTTCCCTAGGTTTCTATTTTCACGTCTTACAACCTGACTTCGGTGTCCGGAAAAAAAACATTTTCATTTATTATTAACTGATTCATTTTGAACCATTCATTTGTTTTCGCATTCCACACTCGCTACTGAGGAAAACGTTATCGATAGATGAACCTGCACATAATTTCTAATTGAAAAATGATTATGAACATGACTAAGACCATTAAAGAAGGTATAATAAAACTAACGAAGAACCTATATTATTTATTTTTATCTCTTGTAATTATCAAAAACTACCGTTTGCCTCTTAAAGGTAAGTTTTATTTTCTCAAAGGTGTAGAATGACAGTTGTTGAGGTGAGGTGGCTTTTACTTGATGATAGATTCTAATTATGCTACACACTTAAACACAGAAAAACACATTTTTGACGACAATTTTGATATTTTACGTACAGCCACAAAAAGTAGAAAATTAAATTTATTGGAAGCCATGGAGATTAACAAAATGAGGCATTCAAATGTATTGCTTAAGGATCAATTAGATTTAAATACATCTCCTTTACTGAACTTAAATTCTCGCAACAACATTAATTAAGGTTTTATGGTCATTTTTCGGTATATATAGTAGCAGGTAGTTTGTAGATATTACATTTGATAAAGACACGGTGTTGTCTAAACAATTGTCATGTCAAAATATATAATTTCGTGAAAAACTGAACTTTTAGTTCTTATTTATTTTGATATTTGAGAATAGCTGACATTTTTGATAAATCCTGTGAGCCTCTATAACCACTGTAAGCCTTTAAACATTTTTTAAAAGCTTGGTAAGTTCATCAGCAAAACTTGTATTTTTAAGTTTCTGAGATATATTAAAAAGTTCATTGGGCGTTATTATGAGTGATTATTATTATGTGTCATTGATAATTCACCTTTATATAGTTAATTATATTTCGTTTGAACACCCTTGGCATTATTAGCAATATAGATAACATATTATGTAACATTTTATATACAGGGTTTTTCACTTAAAACTCAGCACGCCAATAAGTCCAAAACGAAAAGAAATATTTAATTTATGTAAAAAGCAGTCAAAGTGTGGGATCAAATAGATATTTCCTAAAGTTTAAAAAATTCGACGCCTGCAAAGAGCTGGGCGTCGCGACGCGTCGAAAAATTATTCGATTGCAGAGACTTTGGAAATACGCGCATACAAAAGTACATATTATTTAAAAACTTTTTTGTTATTTACTCAAACTTATTTACTTTACCCGTTTCTAAGTTATACCGATTTAAAGTAAACATTTCTTGATTAATAAAAAATGTGATTAACGCTTATTTTTACAAGTATGCCATGAATGTTAGTTACTATGGCGACCATTGTTATCGCAGTTGTTTTAAGTGCAATTACAAACGTAAGTTGTTATTGCTGTATCAAAAAATTGTCACATTTTGTCACAAGAAATATCCAAATTTGTTCGGTTAAAAAAAACTAAGAATTATTATGTGAAAATGGTGCAATTTAGCAATGAGGAAAAAGTAGACATGTTTCTGGTGTTTGGAGAATGCAGATGCAATTGTAGAGAAGCAAAAAGAGTTTACGCACGGCGTTATCCGCATAGAAGAGTCCCCGATGCAAAAACCTTTTCAAGTTTATGTAAAAACTTAAGAGAATATGGCAGCTTCATAAAACCTAAAAGAGATAGGAACAGGACGGCTACAAATGATGAAAATACTGCTGCTGTAATTCAGTAGGTTGATAATAACCCCAAGATATCCCTATCAGAGATAAAAGAAAATACCGGTGTTACCATAAGTTCTTCGTGGAAAATTCTACATAGAAACTCTTTTCACCCGTATAAAAGTAAACTAGTTCATAAACTAGAACCAGGCGATTATGCTAGAGGAATGTATTTCTTAGCGACATTGTCCGATTTGTATAGCCAAGATGCAAATTTTCTCTCGAAAATTTCATGGAGCGACGAAAGTCGATTTCAAAATAATGGAATCGTTAATAGACACAACTGTTGTTTTTGGTCCGAAAACCATCCTCGTTGGATTACAGAAAGAGGTAACCGACGAATTTTTAGTATCAATGTTTGGTGTGGCATATTAAATGGATTCCTTATTGGACCTTACTTTTACGAAGGAACTTTAAATGCAGATCGCTATTTAAGATTTCTTCAAACTACACTTCCGGAACTATTAGAAGAAGTGCCTCTTGACACTAGAATGTGGCTACAGCAGGATGGAGCGCCTGCACATAATGCCCAAATATTAACGAGGTATTTGAACCGAGAATATCCCAATAGATGGTTTGGTACTAATGGACCGGTAAGGTGGCCGGCGAGGTCCCCGGACATTACACCACCAGATTATTTTCTTTGGAACTACCTAAAAAACGTTATCTATGAAGAACCTATCGAAGATATGGCTGATCTCATTAACAAAATTAGTGCAGCGTGTGCCGCTATCACAAGAAGGACTCTCCTACAAATGACCCAAGCTCATCTGTTAAAAGTTTTTGATAGTTGTGTTCGAGCAGATGGACATAATTTTGAACAAAATTTTTGAAATGTCTTATTATGTAGTTAATTGCAATAATAATTTTGGTTATTAACTTCAGAACTAAATCGATAAAAAATAATAAATAAAATCATACTAAAATAGTTGAAATCTATTGTTTGTAATTGCACTTAAAACAACTGCGATAACAATGGTTGCCATAGTAACAAACATTCATGGCATACTTGTAAAAATAAGCGTTAATCACATTTTTTATTAATCAAGAAATGTTTACTTTTAATCGGTATAACTTAGAAACGGGTAAAGTAAATAAGTTTGAGTAAATAACAAAAAAGTTTTTAAATAATATGTACTTTTGTATGCGCGTCTCTGCAATCGAATAATTTTTCGACGCGTCGCGACGCCCAGCTCTTTGCAGGCGTCGAATTTTTTGAACTTTAGGAAATATCTACTTGACCCCACACTTTGACTACTTTTTACATAAATTAAATATTTCTTTTCGTTTTGGACTTATTGGCGCGCGGAGTTTTAAGTGAAAAACTCTGTATAAATAAAATATTATTCATTCAAAAAATTTAAACAACTTATATCATATCTTATAGCATATCTTTATCTCTATAATTAACAAACAAAATTATGATTTTTTTGTAATTTTGGAACTATTATTAATGTATGATCATTAAATTCATTTGCCATGTTTTTAGAATCAGCAAGTTGCTTGTTGTTCGCTTTCAGTGTGCTATTGATTTCGTTGCAGATCGCGTTAGCATTACTCATGCGGATGTAAATAGATAATTTGGAATAATATGCAGGATACAACAATCGAGACTAAAGAAATAATTTCGGAAATATTTTGTCAAGTTTCAGCCTGATTATGAGGTTTGACCAGCGTAGGGTAACCGGGTCGTAAAACTCTACGTCTCGACGAGCAAAAGTCGTTGAATAATACATGAGGATCCCTCCGAGAAATTTGAAAATTGTCGTCGTCAGCTTTGACACGATTCCGGGTTTGATTTTTCCGAACTGTCTCCGGAACTCCTCACATTTCGAAACCTGGAAATTTCGCACGTCTTTTCGCGAAGGAAGAATGCCGAAGCTGGATTTATTTCCCCAACGCCAACCTATACTATTGTTTTAGTAAAAGTACCAGCTAGAATTTTTAAATTACGGTCGAAGGGTATTTCCCTCGGGGAAAAATCCAAAATTGTCTCCGCACCCAACAATTGCGTAACGCTGCGAGAGAAAAAAAATGCCGCCCTCGTTTCATATCCGACGGCGTGTTCGGCAAAGTGCAGCTCGGCACCGTTAACGCAAATATATTCTCTGGGTCTTATTTGTTTTCCTTGGCATTCCGATGTTATCCCCGCCACTTTATTGGTTGTCGTATTGGCCGGGTGAAAATGAAAAAGAAAACGCTGCAACATAAACTATTTCTACGACACGTTTTCGTCTGAATTTATGATTTAGGGTCGATATGCCGCGCGTGCCCCGGCACAGTATGGTAACGAACTGCATCGTTTATGTATTTGTTTCCCTTCGAGATAAATTTATACACTCCACCAAAAACGTGCCGAAATACTATGAAAAACTTAATTTTGATTAAATTTATCATTTTAAAGAATATCTTGCAGATTATTTTTATTTTATTTATTTTATCAAAACTCAAAACCTAATATTTACGTTGCAAGAAATAATTCCAGTTGTAACACCCGGCTATTCCTTTTAAACGGCACTAAACGCGCGCGGATGATCGTGACGTCATACCGCTGTTTTTCGATCCATACGTTACACTCAGGTTATAGTGCGAGAATTATATTATTTACCCTTATTTTTAGCTAGTATTTAATTTAACCAGTTTGTATTTGCGGAAGCATCACAAAAACAATATTACAAATCTGGCCATCGTGTTTGAGTACAACCCGCAAAATGTCAGATAAAATTTTTATTCGTCAACCCAAAAATAAAAGCCGTCGTTTTTTTAAGCATTTTTAACTCTTCGAAGTTGCACCCTTCCTATTGCAGTCTCCACATGAATGGCTCGCTGATCAACGTAAAATAAAGAACACTTTAAGTTATCAATGCCAATATACTTTAAAATCAGTATTTAGATTTCCACCACTTTTTTTTGTAGAATAATTTACACTTTGTTTGATATACCATTCGAATTTATAAGACTTGAAAACTTTAAGTTTTAAAAAAATCGACTTGGGTCACTTTCAAAACTTTCTTTCTGATACCTTACACAACATAACTAAATTTTCTATGAACATGTCTTTTAACTTTAATACCGCGAACCTCGGCAAAAGAAAAATGTTCGGTGTTTTGTGTGTAAGACGTCACCAAAAACATATCTACTAAAGGTGAAACTTTCTACTTTTTAGTTTCTACTAAACACAAGATAAAATTAAATTAATAATAATAA